CATGACCACAGGCATCAAGGTAGCTTGTGTGATATGGAGGGATTTTGGGGGCCGGTGTAAGATCCATTCTGAATGTTTGTGTGTTGGTGAAAATCCCTCCATGTATATACTTGTACTTTGTTCCTATTGATCCCCTTAGTTGTACACTGTTGTCCTTTGATTACATTTGAATTGTTAACAGTTGTATTTTTTATTATAGTTTTTGTTTTCCTTACGCATTCACTAAGTTTGTGTTTCTTCCTGAACTGCATCTGTGTTGTTTTACTTGACAATTGTTCTTGGCGGTAGCCATATTGATTCGCTCCTCCTTTTGTGTGTGTTCTATCCAGTCAGGATAGAATAACGTTCATTTGTCGTGACTGGTAATTTTCCCTCATCTTCTATCAACTTCTTTATTTATTGTAATTTAGATTTGATTGATTGAACAATTATTGGTTGAATAGCCGGGTGGTAATATTTGTTTAGGTAACGATTTACATTTAAATTTATGATGAATTATAGAACCGCTATTTACTCGATTACTTGTTTTGATTTCGACGGGAAAGGGCGCGTGTCTAAAGTCCCCGGTCGGCTATTCTTCTATCAAAACCGTAGTTTGGATACCACACAAGGAAGTCAGGATGTATGTCTGACAAATCAAGATTGGGTAGGCAGTTGGATCTTACAATATACCAACTGTTGCACTCAAATCAGTTATCAGCCAGACGCAGAAGTAACCACAAACGGAGTTTACACTGTACACAGTAGTATATGAAAGATGGACAAATGATTTCACTGGAAAGAATGACAATTCACATAGATTTCAAAGGAAGAATATCTGAGCAAATGACAGAACTGCAGAGAAATCACACCACTGTGAGTACAGGGAAACGTTTGGAACAGTGTTACTGAACCCGGTCAAAAACTCAGTAGGTGTACAATTTCGAGAACAGACCGGATTCCTTAAGGATCGGTCGTGAACAGACCAAATCGCGAGACTACGGATGACGTTTAAACAGTCAGCTGAATGGAACTCGTTACTAAACATCTGCATCGCTGACTTTGATGGTTCACCTGACAGGAGGTTTTTATGTAGGTATCGCGGTAGAATTGACAAACCCTGAAGAACTATAACATCTTCATAAGCTCCTCCGACGCTATGGAGTGCGTGAGTATATGGTCAACAATACACGAAATTCACACAACGAACTACACTGTCAATTCGTGCATGGAGAACAGCTGAAAGGGCATTTCAAGTGAAAACCTGAATCAGAGCTGAAACTTGGAGAACTATCACAACAATCATGAAATACGTACAAGTATTTTCGAACAATCAGCTACTTAAGATACTCAGTGTCCGTTGACCGGATACCATCAGAAGGAAGCAGACATGAAGAGGATTAATAGCATCTGGGATCGAGCGAAATGGATTATAAGGGGACGAGCTTGATAAGGAATTGTGATATATGGGCCATGCGCTTCAACGAAGTGTGTCAGATGTATGCAAGCTTTGGGGTCTGAATGGTGTAGATTCACTTACTTTAGGACTAGAAGTGCATTTGAAGCGGTGTTTGATAAGGATAAACGTTTATGGGAAAGATCATTGTTCAGGAAATGTAAAGTTCGTGAAGTTTGTTGTGACTTTAAAAATTGAACTCATGAGTCAGTGTAATCTAGATCATCTTTGAAAATCTGAAAGCATTGGATGGCTGTTTCGTCTTAGTATGGGACCCCCTCGCAGCGCTAATCCACGATCCTTCATACTGGACTGGAACCCATGACCTTCGGTATCGCGCACGAACGCTTAAATTTTAGACTATCAAGCCGCTACTGAACAGCGGTAATATCTAACTTCAATCGATCCATGGTTTTGCGCAACTATTTATCCATTGTACGAGGTCGATACTTCTCTCTACTTGACGTATATTGTGTTCTACTGGTCACGGCTTCACACTAGAACACCAGGAAATCCACATTGACGTCAGCCATTAGTGAGCACATGATGGTTAATAATCGATTGGGGATTTGTGTGAGTTGGAGTGATTTTGATAGTTAGAATCATGGGTTCGAGCCCCACATGAACTATGTAATTGTCAGACGATGTAACTGCTGAACCTCTGATAATACTGTTTGAAATGTTTTGAAGCAGTCTCGTATGGTAAGAGACTTGAATAACACAAGTATCAGTCAACTTAGTGAAGCAGGCTGTGCAGAAATAGATAGTAAGGAGCGCTCTGTTCGTATACCAGCGCGTTGGATGGCTAAAGTGTGGTTTTTATAGTTCCAAGAAAAGCATCGACAAGGTCTCTCACCCGGTCGTTGATTGAAACTGAGACGTTTTGAGATTCATGGCGTAATGGTGGATCGAAAAAGTAGTTTTCACAATATTAGAAGACTGAGAGTATGGGTAGTTGGGGCTCTATCAACGTGGGAATCTGTAAATGTGCAGTACAATACTCGGTCAAAGGAATCCCTTCGATCAGGAAGTAGTTTATGCCGTTATCGTGAGTTTTCTAGTGCAACATGTGAAAGAAGCGACTAGGTACGACCCGGACTCTGAATCATCCTTACCAGATCTTATGTTAACTCACGTTGAGGATGTCGTAGCGAAGCTTGATTACACGCTACGTCTAGGTTAAATTGATCGTGCAGTTCTGGCTTTTGAATTCCGTATAACTGTCAATCACGAGAACACGTCAGTTCAATTCAGACCTGACGTCTGGAAAACAAACATGCAAGAAATCATTCACTCAGCATCGTCAGTAGATTGGAAAATAGACCCTTGGTCCCCAGTTGAAACAGTTTGGCTATTTAAAAATTTATACTAAAAAGTTACTGCACCACATCACTTTGACTACATCAGGGAGACCGAAAAACTCTCCGCCATGGTTCAGTGGAAAGGTTCGCATCCCTCTCCGTAAGAGAACAAAAGTGTGGGATACCATAAGGTTACTGGGGACTGATGAGACCATCTGAGTATAGAAAAGCTCGGAATACCTGAGCATCGACCCTCCGTAAGTCTATTAAGTTGCACGAAGAGAAATTTGTCAAGAAATCGATGGAATGTCCCAAGCTTTTATCTCTTTATAAACCAAGGGACCAAAAGAAGAGGAAATATTCCTACCTTATGGAGAGACAGTACTGCGTCATCATTGGTGGAGGACGACTATGGTAAGGCTCAAGTATTCTCAAACTCTTTCAGCAATGTATATACCGTGGGAACACCCTTCCTGTCAGTTCACACAAATCCCGACACACAAACACTGGGCAGTGTGAGCATTAAAGAACTCGATACCTTTGGTCTGTCAAATAAGCTTGACATATAGAAGCCCATAGGTTACGATGAGCTACATCCTAGGTTTCTAAAGGAACTAGCTAATTTCGTCGTGGACCGCCTAAGTACATGTTTTAACCTCTCCGTAACCCAGAGTCATTTACCAAAAGACTGGAAGAACGCCATAGTAAGTCCTGTCTTCAAAACAGGTATGGAACATAAACTTGAGAATTGTTGACCCGTTAGCCTAACTAGTGTGGTTGTTGAAATTTTAGAAAAAGATTACTTGGAAAGAGCTGTTTAAGTATCTTGATGAAAACCCGATTTTTCGGAAAAGTAGCATGGTTTTAGAGTAGTTTATTCCTGTCTTACTAACTTATCAGTGGCTAGTGAAATCCGGTGCGCTCTTAGAGACAAAGACGTAGCCTACAGTGACTTCAGCAATACCTTTGACAAAGTTCCTCATAACCGGCTGTCATATAAGCTAGGAAATGTCGGAATGGAAGGCAATCAATCAATTTGGATAAAAGACTTCCTAGTTGAGCGCCAACAAAGAGTACAGGTGAACTCCAAATTGTCCAGCTGGAAAACTGTGCTTAGTGGAGTGCTTCAGGGCATAGTTTGGGGGCCAATGTTACTCATCTTGTATGTAAATGACCTTCCTCGTTTAATATCATCGTCGGTCTTGCTATATACTGACGATCACAAGATGTGGAGAGCGATACGAAGTAAGGGTGACAGCTTAGAACCCCGAAATGGCCTGGAGAAATTATCTGAATGGTCTCAAACCTGGCAGTTGCTGAAAAGTACTTCCAAGTGCATTGTGATGCATGTTGGTCATCAAGGTACTGATACATAAGTGCTGAATAACATTGAGCTGCTTGTTGTCCGGGCACACGAGGACTTACGAGTCATTGTGAGCCAAGACCTAAAGACTACTGCAAACTGCCGTGCAACAGCCAACAAAGGTCATAGAACTTTATGGTCAATACGTAGGGCTTTTACTCGTGTCGACGCTGAAAAGTTTTTTACTTTGTGTGCAGTGTTCGTACGTCCTAAACTTGAGTACTGTATACAAGCGGCTAGCCCCTGCTTAAAAAGACAGTAACATTTTGGAAAACGTTCAGAGAACAGCAACTAAGCTGATTCCCGGAATAGTGCAGTTCCTGTATGATGCTCGACTGGCCAAGCTAGAACTATTCCCGTTGTCACTTCGTAGAACTAGAGGCGACTTGATTACAGTTTTCAAATTGCTTAGTGATAAATTTGCACCTGGCATGCTCTCATTTTTCTTGTCTTCCAAAACAGATAACTTACGAGGACACTCCAAAAAAGTTCACAAGCCCAGGATAATTTGCTTGTCAGCTGACTATCAACTTTTCCATCGAATCATCAACGAGTGGAATTCAATAACTCAGCACGTGGTTAAGGCTCCATCCGTCGACTCTTTCAAAAGAAAGTTGGATCAACTGAGAGACCACCATCGCCAGGACTAACACAGGCCATCAAGCCTCCTGTCCTTTTCAAACTGAATCTGAAGCTGATTTACATCCGTTCACCATTTCTCACGTAGAGTAGTAATTAGTAATATTCCCTGTCAGAACACGTTATATCAGCACTGTCGATGATATATTCAAGGAGACGCTGAATCTTTGCAGTATTTCATATCATGAGGAATAACATGACTCGATTGCACTTACTACAGATGTCGGAAATTATTGTATATTGGACGTTGCTTATTGGTCGTCGTGACTTCCAAGGTCGGACAAGTTATGAATTATTTTGATAACGAAGGTGCAATTGAGAAAATTAAAGGTTAATAACAAATTTTCCAGGACACTCGATTGTTTTTCATTTCTATACGTGTCTTTTTTAAGCTTTGGATGCCCCTGTGAGTTAATTACCCCTATTGTCGTCGAACGCATATGACCATGTACTTGAGTACGTTCGTTTATGTACATAAAACCAAAACTGATTATAACTAGAAATCATAAGATAGTCTGGATATTGCTTTTCACTTTAGCGCTAAGCTGTTCAGTACTCCTCCTACTGGCTATAGACCGTAGTGAATACAAATAGGTATCTCTATCGGACGGAATTTTCCTCAAGATTCGATGGATTGGGGAAAGAATAATAAGTCACTTGTACATAGAAAGCAAAATTCAAGAGTCTAATTTCAAAAGTTTGCGAAAAAACACTCCACTCAAAGTTCAGGCAACAACCAGACAGAGTATAGTTGCCTGAAAAACTACAGCAAGCTAATAAACACATGTTTATTTAGAGCTTCATAACACAGGACATCAAGTCATACATCCTCTGGTATCTAAATCAAGTGCTAGCGAGTGAAAATAATCACGATGCCACAAAATGATCTGTCCCAGAAAGAACGGTGAATAAATACATAGATTGAGGATTTTTCTTACCAATCATTCGTTGTATCCTAATGTCCCCCGGATAATGTCGCGTTTTTGTGTGTTGCTTATCCAATTTACTCTTGATCATCATGATTTATTGTCTTTTACTCACTGTTGTTGGCTGTTCCTTAAGAAAAGAAGGCTAGAATACTTTCATCTGATTTTAATTTCGAATCTTGTTAGCTTATCCAATCTGTTTCATATTAGTCCTATGTAAGAAGCTGCATTCATCTAGTGAAGTGAGAGAACCACTCGTTGAGGGTTTCGATCTCAGATTCGTCGAAAAGTAATTAAAACTCAGTTTCTGGCTAATGGACTGATTTTACGAGTTTTCGAAGCTTTTGTGTTGTAGTTGTCAAACAAAATGAGAATATAATAAAACGAGTGTGTAATTAAACTAATTGCGATTGTAATCATGTCAAATTGGCGATTTACCAGGTGTTATAAGCAACCCACTATGGATTAGTACTAACAAGACGATCAGTTATTTACGTACATCGTTCTACAGTATAACGCTTTTTCGATTGTAGCAGTTCTAGCGGAAACAAAAACGCCATATGCATTTGGCTCATGTCAGGAACGATCTCTCTATCCAGAAGCTATACCTCATCATCGTCTTGGTATAACACTGGCACCAATAAATGGGAATGGATTTGTTGGACCGACAACCTATGACATTGAAGTGAATTTAATAAGTTGAGAATGTTTTAATTGAGTTTGTTATAGACTTCAATGGCTAACAAGTTCAACAAGAAGATTATCAGTACTCGTGGGTATATATTGGGAGCTAGAACAGCGCGTAGAATGAATAATCACTTACGTGTAAGTATTGAATTCACAAAATATTATACATACTTGCGAATGGAGTATCATTGTTTTAATCTTTTAGCTTTGTACTTTACTATATTACTAAGGTTTTCTACTCACAATGACTTGAAAAACAATTTATACACGACTCATGCAAAGTTAGTCTGGAAGCATTATTATTATAGTGCTATTTTGTAATAAGGTTCCTCTGAGGATTAGGAATGCCTTGATGTGGTACTATGTCAGAAACGAAAATTTGACAGTAAATCTGAAAATATATTGGCCATCAATGTTTGGATCAAAACTTCATTATCATTACTAGATGTGATAACTCATTAGACAAGACTGACTTATTGGTACGATACAAATCCACACTCTGAGATAATTTATTTGTAGAAAATTTGGAATGCAATACCACCACAATTATCCTGTCAACTTTCTCGAAATGTGTAAAGATGGTGTGATCTTATCACAAGAGAGTGGTGATTATCAAAGAACTTCAATGCTATTCAAGTATTATTCCTTTGAAAGACTTTTATCTTAAAATGTTGATGATATTTTACTTTATTTGAATGATGCTAGTAAATCCAAAATAATCGTTTGTATCTGTTTGCTTGGCTTATTGAAACACATCATATCACGTTTGAAAACCCGATGGCACCTATTAATGACCCACAAGAGAAGGAGAAACAATTGTTGCACATAATATTTTACGGCTACTTAGTATTGTTCTTTTGCTCAGTGTTTCGAATACAGACTTCGAACAAGTTGACAGGAGGTTCAAACTCCAACTCACTTTTGTTCAAGGGATGGAATAAAGTAAATATCTCCTAAAACCTATATTCTAGGGCTATCGCTCACCAGTCAGTCAGTCAGTCAGTCAGTCAGTCAGTCAGTCAGTCAGTAACAACGTAGAACTTCGTACGTACGTACATCAGTTCGAGTTGCCACACCACATTAGCACAGAGATGCAGTGGTCGATTCAAATCCCGTAGTGGTAGAGGTAGCAAGAGTATAAGCAGTAATCGGGAAGATTAGGGTTTGGAGATGTTAATTAAAGAGTATAATCCAGTGAAACAAATTTGGAAAGAGGAAAAAAGGGACATGAAGAATTCAGAAGATTAGAGTTTGGGAGAACACAAAGAGTGGATGCACCTGCGCCATTGCAAACGATTTTGAGCCATGTCATTCAGGGTCTCCAACCATCGGTTGCTATCATCTCGCGGTCCCCAACCAGGTAGTCTACACCTACCAACATGACTCAGTCCACTTGTCAGTGACTTCATGGACTTGTGCCATGTTTTGGTTTGGCCGCCCCTAGCTTTCTTCCAACCTCCTCCTATACCACTGAACATAGCACGTCGAGGTAGTCGGTGGTTGGGCATACGTAACACGTGTCCCAGCCATCTCAACTGATGAAGTTTCACTACTTCATCAATTGATTTGCCATCCTTACCTATTACTCGTTTCCTAACAACTGTGTTACTTACTCGATGGTCCCATGATATACGAGCAATGTTTCGAAGACACCTATGATCGAATACTAGTAACCTACGGATATCCTCTACTCTTACCGGCCATGTTTCACTGTCATAAAGTAGGACGGAACGAACTGCTGAGCAGTAAACCCGTCCTTTGGTTGATAGACGGATATCTCGCCTACGCCATAAATGACGCAAGTTGGCAAAAGCTAGTCGAGCCTTCTGTATCCGTGCTGAGATTTCGTCATACACCAGACTACAAGGGCTGATGAGACTTCCAAGATAAGTGAAGTGGTTGACACGCTCAACTACTTCACCCCCTATCACTAGTTCGGGTGTCGATGTAACCCAATCCTGAAGCAACATTTTGCATTTCGAGGGAGAGAATCGCATCACGAACATGCTTGCATTGTTGCTTAGAGTGGTCAGAAGACTCTGCATTTTGTCAGCGTCTTCGCCAAATAAAACTGTCATCTGCATATTCTAAGTCAACAAGTGAACCTCCCGGTAGAAGTTCAACCCCTGTAAATTTAGATGAGAAGAGTGTTATCTCTAAAAGTATGTCGACCACAAAGTTGAACAAGAATGGGGAGAGTGGACAGCCCTGACGAACATCACTTGAGGTAATCAATTCTGATGACAGTTCACCATAAGCTTTCACTCTACCAGTTGTGTTCGAGTAGAGAGCCTTTATAAAATGGAACTGGATTAATGTAGATGGCATGATTGTCACTATAGAATTATAAACAGCATAAAAATACACACATCATTCAATAGATCCTGTCATAAAAGACTTAAAGAAACATATTATAACCTAATCGTTTTTAAAACGGCTGGGTTACTACCATTTTTGTGATATTTTGGTTCATCTGATGTTTGAAACAGAACTATTAAAGCTTAGAATGAGACTGGTCATTGAAGAAGCAATACATTATAAACAACTCAGAAAATGCATCCAAAAGTAAAGTTTAACGCAATCAGACCAGAAGAAATAACCGAACGGATATTGAAATGTATTCGTATCGTTTCGATATGACATTTACAATGAACCTTGTAAATATGTATTCCCAGAAAAACTGATTGTTTTATTTGTTTATCACTTTCACTATCTTTCATTATTACCCCCATTAGTAAATTATCAATAGGAGATTATGTCCAAATGACAATGGGTGATATTTATCCCAAACATCGGAAATACTTTTGAACTAAACTTTCAAACTTTACAATAAAATGTACTACATAACAATGAAATGCCATTTGATTTCATTTTAGATAATCAGATTTTGCCAGAGGTTACCAATCTGTTATGACCTTGGATGTCTGTACTTTTCGATCACACGACTTATCTACCAATCCGAATACAACTTATACGAATCTTCACACTAGGACAACCAATGACGTTCAAGCTGTGTGGGCAGTTTAGTGTCCTTATTGGTCCTATGTCCTACGAGCCTTCCCACTTGAGTCCAGAACAAGATACCAGCTTCCGAATCAGAGCAGATCGTTTATTTCAGGCATACTTGGTTTATATATCAATCATACAGACCGCAACGTACCATAAAATAGGAAATAATATTTGTACACAAATAAGCCCAAAAAGTGGCTGTGAATGTGGGAGGCAGTAGTTAATAAACTGAACATAACTTAACAACCGTAAATCGTACAATAATAAGTTATAGGTCAAAATAAAGCTTATCACAAAAGGAACATAAATATACATAGTGTAATTGTTGAGTAGTTATACAATAAGAATATTAGTCCATGAATAGTCCTCGGGAGTTACCTGTGATTTAATCTCCACTCGGATACAACACAATCATTGCAAGTAATTGTCAAGTCATTGAGATATTATTCTTAAATGAAATTAAGACTGTTGACAAAACCTTTTTCTAATACTTTTATGATTACCCTGTAACATACATTGTGATTATCTTGTTTAGTCATTTAAACGACTCAAAGCTCTCTTGATATTGTTTTGACTTGAATTTTCCCATTGATGTTTTTGGACTGAAATTGATCAGTCTCTTATTGGCATATGTGCACAAGCAAGTGGCTATCAGGACTCAGTAGCTAAGTGGATAACGCGATGGCGTTTGAAGCGAACGGTACTGAGTTCGAGTCCCCGAGGTGAACATCAACTCTCTGAGATGCAGGTACATCCAGCTGACGAGTCCCAAACAGGACGAAACGCGCTTTGTCCTGGATTCCACTGTTAGCCACTATCCATCTTTGCTTATAATGACTCAAAGCTCTGTTTTTCAATTTGTTCATCCAAGAGCTATATGATGAATGATGTTTTTAGAATAACTATACTTTTATCTATGGTAAAGGTGTTTATAAACATGTTTCCTATTGTTGTGGATGTGCAGGAATAGACCAATAATTATCATGTTAAGTCCAATGGTGTCCTTGGACTTTAAATGGAATTTCCTATTGGTCGATATCTGTTCACTTGTACAAAATGTTGTTTCTATTTTTATGGTACGCTGTGGTATGCTTGACTGGTATATAAACAAAGTATGTTTGAAATATAATGATTCATATCTCAGAGGTTGTGACTTGTCTTCTGGACTCAACTAACTGGGCTAGACAAGGAAGTGGGACCAATCGAGACTCTAGGCCGTCCGTACGTGTTTGCGTGTCATTGTAATCGATCGATAACACAGGATAGAAATCTACATCAATTTAAAGTTATAACACCTATTTATTTTGTTTTTGATTCTAGAATTCAAATTTTCCAGATCCTGGAGCTTATCAAGATTTTGTGAACAAATCATTGTTCGTCAAATCAAATAAAGTACCATTTAATCAATCCACACATAGAACAGATAAATCACTAATCGGTGCATCAACTGTTGGGTAAATAAAAAAAACATTGTTTTCCTTCTATGAATAGATTGAAATCATGAGTCAGTTGAAGCTAGACCACCATTGAAAACCTGGAAGCACTGGACGGCCGTTTCGTCCTAGTATGGGACTCCTCAGCAGTGCGCATCCACGATCCCGCACCACGCGAGGCTCGAACCCAGGACCTACTGGCTTCGCGCGCGAGCACTTAAACATTAGACCACTGAGCCGGCATCCAACGGTGTTAATGTCTAACTTCAACCAATCCACGAAGTTGCGCCACCATATACCATTGTCTTCAGTGAGCTGATATCTCACAACAGACCTGGTTGATCTATGGATACTTGAAACTAAGACATGACCTAAATAAGATAATGCTAACCTATACTACTTAAAATAGTTCATAGTATGCATAAAAGTTGGCATGTTTCAACATGCAAGGTTGGTCAAATATGAATGAAGAGTTGTATTAACTAAATAAGGTGATACTGTTTAACAGAGCTATTTCATCCTAGTATGTGGTGACTTCAAGAACGATAGAACATAGGACCTTCATGTCCCACCTCAAACATCTAATCGTTCTATTATTGAGACCATATTTAAAAGTCATAACACTAATAATCAAGGAATGATTCGTTTTATTGATGTGTACATTCATTTCTCTATTGACGGATTCATTGTGTTCAAGAAAATAGTTGTGCAAAATGTACAATTACACAGTCACAATATGAGCAACACTAGTAATATTTACAATATTACTTGAGAAGATTCATCAATTAATTCTCATTGTTGATTGATTAATAATGGATTAGGCATTATACTCCAACATAATGCTCTATTCTATGTTCTGCTAACTGACATATTCCATGTGACCAATCTGTTCAGTTGACAAAAGTTAACACTTACATTTTCGGATTTAACCATTTGTATGCAATGAATAAAATCATTCAACAAAGTGCTATACTTCCCTGTTTTCATAACGATTTACTTAGTTTTCTGTGAATAGTTAAGATGTGATCTGTCATCAGAATGGTCGTCTCTAGTACACTTAGAGTCAATTACTAATATTTAGTTTATAAAACATCACAATTAATTGATCACTGGGTGGTGATCAATGTCATGCTTGTCTAGTCCTTATTAGTACAGATCGAATGCTATCGATCATGTTGCAATGTGGCCACCAGTCTAGGTGACTCGACCTGGGTTTCCTGTCGACTACCTTCAACCACCATCTAATCTCAACATGTTAGTTATTGTTCACTTCTTCATTAATCATTTAGCCAGTACACTATTGTGAGTGATATAACCAAAAATAACAGAATAACAGTCATGATAACATTCCTACTATCATTAGATATCCAGATTGTCTCAAGCATTTATGTCTCTAGTATATTGGATTTCATACAACAGATAGATATGATTATAGGCAATCTGTCAGTATGTGATAAAATAGTACTGTGTTTTGCTACTTATATCAACATAAGTAGTATATATAACGCTAGTCAAGAATAGAATATACGGCAGCAGAAGATCAAGCAGGAAAGAACAGGAACAGAAAGTCATTGAAATGGTAGTGAAGGAACAGTGATTTCTGGAGCAATTGATTGACATTTTGTAGATGAAGTATTTACTGTGTAATTCTCAGATTTTATCAAGGGATTCTGTAATCTGTGTTTTCAAACATATTTGATTGCCCCCTACTTGTACCTTCTTATTGACTACAATATTAAGGTTAAGAAACATAAGCATTATACATTTATTGAATATCAACGTTATCTTCCATAGACAGTATGTTTTTTTTTTGGTGGAAAAGTTAAAATTTAGTTACATAATTAATGAGTAATGTTATTTGTTGCTACTCCGCCTGGAGTCCCTCCGGGGGCTACTGCCGGTCCCAAGCCCGGATAAAGGAGGAGGGTTGGGCATGGGGTTAGCGTCCCCATCCCGTAGAAAACTAACTCGCTAAAAAAACGCTAACCAGAAAAAATTGTTCAAACCTTTTAAACTCTGCCCTGGGAGTCAGAAGGTCTTCATTTAGAAGAATTATGACGCCTCATGATGAAAGCCGAATTCCTTCGGAAGTTACGAGGCCGATGCCCCTTCTGACAACCAGAGCAACCATTTATTTAGGTACATGGAATGTTCGTACAATGTGGGACACCGGAAGAGCCTTCCAGATTGCTGCAGAAATGAGAAGATACAACCTAGAGGTACTTGGGATCAGTGAAACACATTGGACACAAGTTGGACAACAACGACTAACTACAGGAGAGCTCCTGTTATACTCCGGCCATGAAGAAGAAAATGCACCACATACACAAGGAGTTGCATTGATGCTGTCCAAACAAGCGCAAAATGCGCTTATAGGATGGGAATCTCATGGACCAAGGATCATCAAAGCCTCCTTCAAAACAAAGAAAGAGGGCATTTCAATGAACATCATCCAATGCTATGCACCTACCAACGACTATAATGAAGACGCTAAAGATCAATTCTACAATAGGCTGCAGTCAATCGTCGAGAAGTGCCCAACAAAGGACCTGACCATTCTGATGGGAGATTTCAACGCCAAGGTTGGAACGGACAACACTGGATATGAAGACATCATGGGACGACACGGACTAGGAGAAAGAAACGAAAATGGTGAGAGATTTGCAAATCTATGTGCCTTCAATAAGCTGGTCATAGGCGGCACCGTATTCCCACATAAACGCATACACAAAACCACATGGACTTCACCGGATCACTCTACACAAAACCAAATCGACCATATTTGCATCAACAAAACGTTCAGGAGGACTATAGAGGACGTGAGAACCAAGAGAGGAGCTGATATAGCATCAGATCATCACTTACTGGTCGCCAAGATGAAATTGAAACTCAAGAAGCACTGGACAACGGGGCAGACAGTATCACAAAAGTTCAATACGGCCTTTCTCCAGGATACTAACAAACTCAACAAATTCAAGATAGTCCTCAGCAACAAGTTCCAGGCCTTTCATGATCTACTCAATGGAGAAGGAACTACTGTGGAGAGCAACTGGAAGGGGATCAAAGAGGCAATCACTTCAACATGTCATGAGGTCCTGGGTCACAAGAAGCACAATCACAAGGAATGGATCACTGTTGGTACACTGGATAAGATTCAAGAAAGGAGGAACAAGAAGGCAGCGATCAATACCTGTCGAACAAGAGCAGAAAAAGCCAAGGCACAAGCTGAATACACGGAAATAAACAAACAAGTGAAGAGGAGCATCAGAACCGACAAACGTAAATATGTGGAAGATTTAGCAACGACGGCGGAAAAGGCTGCAAGAGAAGGAAACATGAGACAATTGTATGACACGACAAAGAAACTCTCTGGAAATCGCCACAAACCAGAACGACCAGTGAAAAGCAACGCAGGCAAGGTAATCACCAACATTGAAGAGCAACAAAACAGGTGGGTAGAACACTTCAAAGAACTGTTGAATCGACCAGCTCCACTGAACCCACCCAACATCGAAGCAGCACCCACGGACCTCCCAATCAATGTTGGCCCACCAACAATTGAAGAAATCAGCATGGCCATCAGACAAATCAAGAGTGGCAAAGCAGCAGGACCGGACAACATCCCAGCTGAGGCACTAAAAGCAGACGTAGCGGCAACTGCAAGGATACTCCACATTCTCTTCAATAAGATTTGGGATGAGGAACAAGTACCAACAGACTGGAAAGAAGGACTTCTAATCAAAATACCGAAGAAAGGCGATCTCAGCAAGTGTGATAACTACAGGGGCATCACTCTTCTCTCAATACCGGGAAAAGTCTTCAACAGGGTATTGTTAAACAGGATGAAGGACTGCGTAGACGCCCAACTTCGAGACCAACAGGCAGGATTCCGTAAGGATAGATCGTGTACAGACCAAATCGCAACTCTACGGATAATTGTGGAACAATCAATTGAATGGAATTCATCACTCTACATCAACTTCATTGACTACGAAAAGGCATTTGACAGCGTGGACAGAACAACACTATGGAAACTTCTTCGACACTACGGCGTGCCTCAGAAAATAGTCAATATCATACAGAACTCATATGATGGGTTAAACTGCAAAATTGTGCATGGAGGACAGTTGACAAAGTCATTCGAAGTGAAGACCGGTGTTAGGCAAGGTTGCTTACTCTCACCCTTTCTCTTTCTCCTGGTGATCGACTGGATCATGAAGACGTCAACGTCTGAAGGGAAGCGCGGGATACAATGGACATCTAAGATGCAGTTGGATGATCTAGACTTCGCAGACGATCTGGCCCTTCTATCCCAAACACAACAGCAGATGCAGGAGAAGACAAACAGTGTGGCAGCAGCCTCAGCAGCAGTAGGTCTCAACATACACAAAGGGAAAAGCAGGATTCTCCGATACAAGACAGCATGCACCAATCCAATCACAATTGACGGAGAAGATTTGGAAGATGTAAAAACCTTTACATATTTGGGCAGCATCATTGATGAACAGGGTGGATCTGATGCAGATGTGAAGGCGCGGATCGGCAAAGCAAGAGCAGCATATTTACAACTGAGGAACATCTGGAACTCAAAGCAACTGTCAACCAACATCAAGGTCAGGATTTTCAATACAAATGTCAAGACAGTTCTACTGTATGGGGCAGAAACCTGGAGAACTACAAAAGCCATCATCCAGAAAATACAGGTGTTTATTAACAGTTGTCTACGCAAAATACTTCAGATCCATTGGCCGGACACTATTAGCAACAACGTACTGTGGGAGAGAACAAACCAGATCCCAGTGGAGGAAGAAATCAGGAAGAAGCGCTGGAAGTGGATAGGACACACATTGAGGAAAGCACCCAACTGCGTCACAAGACAAGCCCTCACATGGAATCCTCAAGGCCAAAGGAGAAGAGGAAGACCAAAGAACACATTACGCCGAGAAATGGAGATAGACATGAGAAAAATGAACAAGAATTGGATGGAACTAGAAAAGAAGGCCCAGGACAGAGTGGGTTGGAGAATGCTGGTCAGCGGCCTATGCTCCATTGGGAGTAACAGGCGTAAGTAAGTAAGTAAGTAAGTAAGTTATTTGTTGCTATGACAACAAAGTGAATATTATAAGCAAAGATGGATAGTGGCTAGCAGTGGAATCCAGGACAAAGCGCGTTTCGTCCTGTTTGGGACTCGTCAGCTGGATGTACCTGCATCTCAGAGTTGATGTTCACCTCGGGGACTCGAACTCAGTACCGTTCGCTTCAAACGCCATCGCGTTATCCACTTAGCTACTGAGTCCTGATAGCCACAGGACGAAACGCGCGTCCTGGATTCCACTGCTAGCCACTATCCATCTTTGCTTATAATGCTTGTAAATTAAGGCAATATCAAGGCATACGCACAGTATGCACATATGCCAATAAGAGACTGATCAATTTCAGTCCAAAAACATCAATGGGAAAATTCAAGTAAAAACAATATCAAGTGAAAGTGAATATTTCTTATTCAGCTTATTGTTCTTAATGTCCTTTCACCTCCTACCCCCACCCCAATGCGGCAATTAAGTGCACTTTTTCTATACCTTACACTAAATTCAGAATTCTCCATTGATGAATTAATCAATATTGTTCAAGTGTAATAAACTTTTGTTTTTCTTTTTTGTTTGTTTGTTTCTACCCTGGAAACAATGTTCACTTGTTATTTGTTACATGAAATTGATGAAAAATCAAAGTGTTGGTATCTATAATGTAACTAAACAATTAGATCAACATATACAATGGCAAATGGATACCATGTTAAATCCTGTGAATTTGCCTAAAATTCAATACAATAGTACAATATTAATGAATACAGATAAAGTAAGTTAGTTTTGATCATGTAGATGATCACGATCATTATGATCATGATTGTGATCCTTATCATAAACAAACTATCCTTTTTTTTTGTTTTACTTTTTAGCTTAATACAACGACTGAATGTAAACGATATCAAAGAAAATTAGCATATTTAAAATTATATTATAATTGAATGGAATGATTCCAGCAATTAGCTACCATTTGAATGACGAAGGAGAAGAAGAAGTAAAAAGGAACTAGTAAATGTCATTCTGTACAGCTATTCTATATAACTATTGTGTTACCAAGAATAAAGTTAACAAAAATACATATATATATATTAAACGTTTTATCTCTGTCATTGCCATCAGCAACCCGGATAATGCGTCGGATATTCTCTTTCTGTTCTCTCAATTTGATAAACAATATCGTGGATTGGTTGAAGTTAGACATTAACACCGTTGGATGCCGGCTCAGTGGTCTAATGGTTAAGTGCTCGCGCGTGAAGCCAGTCGGTCCTGGGTTCGAGCCCCGGGTGGTGCGGGGTCGTGGATGCGCACTGCTGAGGAGTCCCATACTAGGACGAAACGGCCGTCCAGTGCTTCCAGGTTTTCAATGGTGATCTAGCTTCAACTGACTCATGAGTTCAATCTGTGAAAATTTCTAAAAATCTCCACAAAACACATTCTGATAATAATAATAATCACATGCTCACTAGTGACTGACTTCAGGAGACACTTCTGGAGTTCTAGTGAGAAGTCGTTACTAGTGGAGTTCAACCAGGTCTGTTGTGAGATAGGAACTCACTGAAGACAATGGTGTACGGTAGCGCAACTTCGTGGATTGGTTGAAGTTAGACATTAACACCGTTGGATGCCGGCTCAGTGGTCTAATGGTTAAGTGCTCGCGCGTGAAGCCAGTCGGTCCTGGGTTCGAGCCCCGGGTGGTGCGGGGTCGTGGATGCGCACTGCTGAGGAGTCCCATACTAGGACGAAACGGCCGTCCAGTGCTTCCAGGTTTTCAATGGTGGTCTAGCTTCAACTGACTCATGAGTTCAATCTGTGAAAATATCCATGCTGTTAAAATGCAGTGAGGTGAACTTCCCTAATAGTGGTTGTATAGGTGTGTACATAGGAAAGCTTTTTGAAAGAGAGGGTAGACACTGCCAACTCTCAACTGTACTAGGGTTTTTGTGGTGTAAGGTCAAAATTACACATGTTTGTAAATTAGACAATGTTTTGTGTGAACAAAATAATATCGAATTTTTAGTTCTGTCACCACCACCATCCTCACCAACCCGATTACTGCTCAGGATAATCACATTTCGTCCTCACATTTTCGTAAATAACACCCCTAATGCTAGAAAACAGTGGGGTGGACTTCCCTGACAATGATTGTTCATGTGTGTATATGAGAGAGTATTTTGAAAGGGAGATTAAACACCCCACACCCTCGACCGTATCAGGGTATTTGTGGTGCAAAGTCAAAATTACACATATTTCTAAATTACACAATGTTTTGTGTGAACAAAATAATATTGAATTTTAAGTTCTATCATTACGTAAATATGTCAAAATTGTATTGTTTGTAAATAACAATGATCATTTATTTATTTATTCATTACAAATGGAAACCTCTTTTCACAATTGATTGATCACTGGGTGGCGATCAATGTCATGCGTGTCAAGTCCTTATTTAGTACAGATCGAATGCTATCGATCATGTTTGCAATGCGGTCACCAGTCTAGGTGACTCGACACTGTGGGCACTATATATTGAGATTAGATGGTGGTTGGAGGTAGTCGACAGGAAACCTTGGATCCGAGTATCGTGCTACTTGACACTCGTCAGCAAGGTGTACCTGTAATCTCGAGGGAACTGGTGCTCCTTGGCGGATTCGATCTCGTGTCACCTAGACTGGTGGCCATATTGCTACATGATCGATAGCATTCGATCTGAACTAATAAGGACTAGACATGTATGACATTGATCACCACCCAGTGATCAATCAATTGTGATTACATCTCAGTCATACAGGAGGTCGTTCGTGGCTCGAGTAGCTCAGTGTTAATGCCTCTAACTGTGAAGCTGGGTGACACAAGATCTAATCTGCCAGGGAGCACCAGTTCTCACAAGATTACAGGAAACCCCTTTTCTATGCCATGTTATAATTCTCTCTTATTACAGGTCAGCTATTGGGATTGCTTAGTATTATTGGATATCGATTCACTTGACAAGTCCTCAAATCAGAACACGATTGATCAGCATGGAAATTATATTCCAAATAGTAAGGGTAGATGGAAGTTAGATGTACAATAAGCGAAACATGAGTGTATTTATAGTTTTTTACAATGAGAATATTCTAGATTGTTCTCCAAGTATACTCCAAGGATGCTATTTTAGTCCAATCTATGTCCCTCTAACAAGAGAACTTGTAATGTGCAATCAACTTACCCTACTATCAAATGAACTTATCTGAATTTCAGTGAAAGTTAATTTGAATAGATAACTGGCTAGATCCTTAATTTTCAGCTAATTGCCTAACCATGGCTACTCTATGTTGTTAGGTAGAACACTAGTTTGAATATCATAGGGTAATTGATCTATATTCTTTAGAACTCAGATCTTTTGAAATTCAATCTGATGTTGATCCAACTAAACGGTGGTTAGTTAAGAATTGATTTTGAATGAGTTCAATAAACTAATCACTTTGATAGTTAAGGTGAATCAAATGGAAAGGTACTTCATCAACATAGTTTTACCTAAATGACCTTCAAATGCATTCAATTATGTTTGTTTTACTGGTTGTCGTTAACCAAAAAGATAAAGTCAACTTGAGTTAGAATCACCAAATATTCTTTGAATCAATTTCCACACTTTCATATACAACCCGCTTGTATACTTATTGAGTGTGAGTATTATGAGTTTCATGTTTTTAGCGGCTGTTCTCATACAATGTCCAGATGAAATAATAATAACTCCAAAGGGGATCAGCAACAGCCTATTTTGAGAGAGAACAAACCAGCTTCCAGCTGAAAGGGAAATTAGGAAACGACGATGGAAATGGATAGGACATATATTACGGAAATCATCAAATGAATCTCAAGACAGGCAATTACTTGAACTCCTGAAGGTAAGCAGAAAAACTAGGGAGGCCGAAGAAGATATTACGTTAAGAAGTACAAACAGATCTGAAAAGGATGAATAACAACTGAAAGGAGCTGAAAAGGATTTTCCAGGACAGAAGTGGATGGACAGTGCTGGTGGTTGAACTATTCTACTCCACAACGAGTAACAGGCGTAAGTAAATAAGTCTAGGGGGATTGTTACTTTTGTGCTTCTTTGAATAAACTGCATTGCTGAGGTGGGTATGTATTACGATTTCAAGGAAGAGTTAGACGTTGTGTTTTTTCCAGTATTACCACATTGTAGTACAAAAAATATCTGTCGAATGTCGTTAGCTATCTGCCTTCTTAATATGTATATATGTATATTTGATGTGAAACTTAAGACCCACTAAAGAGAGAATGAATGAAATTGTAAGAAGCAAATATTTTCTTGCGACGAATCAGTCATCAATTATGTCTATCGTCATACTAAGGTTTCAATGGAAGCCAACTCAGTAAAGAAATCTAGTTCAAATACCATTTGATAGATTCGGTTAGGAAACAAAGTGGTCACATTTAAATAATGGTCCATTGATATGTCTAGTGAAGACAAAGGGTTTCACTTTCCTCTTGAATGTTATGGACTGTTTGTCACATTTCAACAAGATTAATATCTCTTAAGAAGGAGGGAGATAATTCAAACCATTAAAAGAATAACATAAAATTTAAGTGAATGGATATCTGAACTCAGAAGATAATTGGATAATGGATTGACGTTTGAAGTTAAAGGTTCTGAGTCAAAACTCCAAAGTGAACGTCGGTTGTTGGATCTCTGTACGTCCATCTGACTAATCTCAAAGAAATATAAATGCATCTCTAGGACTCCACTTTAAGCCATTATTCATGTATTCTCTTTGCGCTTGCGAGAACCTATGTTTTCCATGTTCACTTGAAATCTATCACACTTATTTTCCTAGTGATGAATGTTGCCATCGAGTTACTGTTCTCAGTTATTCGTAGTTTAGTCTACGTATCTTAACTGCTAATGATAGTTTCCAAGTGTTTTTTAAATTCTTGAGACCGAAAGTACTTTTGAAAACCTTGTTTTGCTGAATATTACTAGTTACTTACTCGTAACATTCCTTGATTATCCAGTAATTTCCTCTTAATCAACTTGAATGAAACCGAATCGACTCAATTTGTCATCATACATTGTAATGATATTTGTCATTAGTCAAAGGATATGTTATTCAAAGTAAAAAGTGCTACTTTGATTCATAAGAAGTAGTATGTTCTTTCAATGACGAATTAACTGTTAGTCCTGATTTGTAGTGAAATTACCGAATGCTCAATGTATCGTTTTGGCAGTGATGGTTTTGATTTCACAATCTCCGAGCAATCCGAAATGTGTTAGATGGAACCGTGTATTTGTGTGTGTGTGTGTGTATGTTTGCGTGCATTCCATGATTTATTGAATGTATTCAGGTACAACTCATTTCCTTGACAACCTGAAAGTTTGCATAATGATTGATCAGATATAGAATTGTGTACATGACTGCGGTTTCGTAGATCATTACGTACATTTCAAACGGATACTAGTAATTTACAAACAAGTGTTTCTTTGAAAAACAGGCAGTGTTTTGATATTTTGTAACTGAAATGGTTCACGAATGGTGTCACTGAAACAATTAGGAAGCTTCAAAAATATCTATCATACAGTTATGAAGCTCTGGATGTCAACACGTCCATCATATGTATTCGTTTTTATATTTTTGCATTGAAATTACATTGATACAAATATGCAGGTCATAAATATACAGAGGATACTACATGTGGTGTTCAGATATGTACTAGTATCTAAGTAAGACAAGTGAATTTGTTCCCCACTGAATTACTGGGATTAGTGACACTTAGTATTATGATATGCCTAATGACTTTCGACTAGGAGATAAACCAGCTAACTGTGTCTGTATTCCAATGTCAGCTTTCATACAGAGGTCCCATTCCGACGATATATGCTTCAAACACCGATTTTCTATTCAAACAACTACTGAATCTGAAATGCTAACAACATCATGATTGAGTA